GTATATATACTGTATATATAAGGGGCTCAGTAATAATTTGTTTACCTGTTCACAATATTTTTATTATTACCATTACATCCTCTTTTACCTCGCCCCATGACAAGTCAATCTAACAATCACGGTTTTGCCAAACTCCGCCCACCCAAGAGTCTCCGCCTATATTCCAACTCAACCAATCACAGTTAGGACAAACTCAGGCCACACCAAAAAACTCCACCAATCACGATTAGGACAGACTCCGCCCACACACACCAAGAAACTCCCCCTGTGTACTGCAGAGACCCCTATTTAAAAGTATTTAGTAGCAGTACTGCACGAAATACCAACATCAGTAATGAAATAATCTAAACTCGGAATGCATGCCTACATTTTAATGTTTAAATCTCATATGAAGTGTAACTTCAAAGAAACTATTTTAAAAATAAGGGTCAAACAAACCGTCTCTGTGCAAAAAAATCTAGTCGGGTCGAGAATCGAGTCCTGGTTTCAAAATTGACATTCTCACTGCCAGTGTAAGAGGAAATGAAAGTGTTCTATTTTAATCTCATACCTATTTATGAGTGCAGCTTGCTGTTTTTCTGGAAACATTTGATCGAAGTGAGCTGGCAGACCTGCCCTTTCACCGCTGATGAGATTTTGTCTGGATAGTAATGTCTTCCTCTCTTACAACCCAATCTACACCTTCTTCTCACATCTCAGGCGAGTCTCGGGGGCGAATGTTAATCAGATTTRCCCTCTGAGTTTATTGTCTGTTCAAAGTAAAATTAATACATGGTTGTGAAGCTGTTATTAATCTTTAACTCAAGACTGATTTCTTTAAACTTCCACCTGTAAAACATCCTCAGATTTCGTTGGTACGGCTCGAGAACTTCACGACGGAACCAAACGACCCTGAGTTCTGAACACMGCTCACTTAAACACAGTAAACCTTGTAATTTCCATCATCATGATAATTAGGGTGAATTTTAAAGAAAACGCTCCAAAAAGCTGATTTTTTTTCTCCTCCTGATGAAAACTACAGATCAGAGTCATTAGAGTGATTGAATAAAAGCCTTGTGTTTGAAAAATTCAGCTGCATGTCTTGTGACATAAGTTTAGTCATTCTAGTCACCTCCCCCTAGAGTGTAATGGAACTTTTAAAAGATGCCATTTATTATGTTTTCACAACAAATCTGGTCCGATCCAGTACTGAGGGGGTTTTTGGTCTAATGCTAGCCATTGGTTTTGGTTTTAATACTTCCTTTGCCAACCGTTTCCCTTGTTTCCCCTTGATTTTAATAAAACTGCTTCAGCCAGACTAAGTTATTTGCAGCTTTATCAGCAGGCGATTCATTAAGTTTATCTCTGAAAACTGATGGATGTCTTTGTTTTGCTGGAYAGACTCTTTGATTTAGATCCACCTCTGAAAGCATTTTGTCTTAAAGTAAACCACTAACTATTTAAAGGCATGGTCGCCCCTCACGTTTCAGGCCAGAGTTTTAAATTSAGAAAGTTTTTCTKTTTGATAAGTATAAAGTTAATCAGTTGTAAACYCAAGGCCCRTGGGCCAAATGTGGCCCACCACAGCATTTTATGTGGCCCGCGAGAGCTTCTTCAAAAATCATGTCTAAAAATGATTGTATGCTRCTTTAAAGCCAGCATTGATCGGGGCCTCTGGACCTGTCGGGCTTTGGCCTGGAGGGGGTGCGCCCTGGGGGCCCGGACCTCTGTGCCCTTTCCTGGATCTGCTCTGGTATGGCGGGTGCCGGTGGGGCCCATGAGTTTGTCGCTGCTGGACCTGGGGGCTGTGTGTGTGGTCGCTGGGGGGAC